AACTGTCGACAGTGGCTGCGGAGGCATGATGATTGTGATGGCGGTGAACACGCCTGAAGAACGGGGAGCCGGCGATTGTTGCGGTGGCGCGTGAGAGCACGCGTGACTCCATGACAGTTGGGCGGTGGTGATTCGAGAAAATATCTGACAGTGAGAGGAAGCGAACGAAATATGCGGTTTTCGCGTTTTTGAAGAGTAACAGTTGGGTGATCGGACGGTTAATATGCTTTTGCTATCGCCACAGGAGCAGTGATTACATGTTTCGCGGCCCAGATAATAATACTATGTCGACCGTTCGATGGAGAGTATGGGATGACATACAGTGAGGATTGCTGTGCTTAGATAAGATAACGGGCCGAGACTGGATGGCTGCGGGGCCCATCTTATCCTCGAATCATGGGTTGAGGCCGAGACTCGAGAGCGCATCCTGTCCAGTCGAGAGTCCATCTCATCATCTCCCCCGTAAAATTTTCAACCATTTTACTTTTGTATTATTTGATTTTTCCAAATAGATATATAATTGTGTAAATAGTCAACAAGAAAAAAAAATTCTCTGCTTTTTTTTTCTCTTCGTCCTTGCAATGTTTGGTCTTAAAATGATTCGACGACGTGACACAGTCATATGCCCAACTTTTATAAACTATTGGAATGAACATCTTTCAAGCATTTCAATTACTCAACACAATATCGTAAATATAACAATCTTATTTATTTATTTCAATTATCCGAGTCTTACACATGGGCGGTCAAAGCTTGAGATACCCTCTAAATCATTCAGAGACTACGATGGTCCGTGCAGCGAAGCCTCTGATAGCATGGGCGGATTTAATCGACCGCATAACTATACTCTTATAAGAGCATTTCTGAAACCTAATGAGTGACAGTGCCGGCGATTGAAATCATCTTCGGCGCTGATTCGGTTGTTTCTCTTCGCGTCACATTCTGCTTCATCAGGAGTGTACTGGCTGGTTCTTTCGGTTTGGTGGGTTTCCGTGTGGGATCAGCAGTGCAGAAAACGTCTTGGATGAAATCTCCATGTCTGGTTTCATTTGGACAACTATGAAGTTTGTGAGATTTTTTTCTCTATCGTAGTTCGTGGAGATTGAATGTGTTCCTGTTGTATGGTTGATGGACTATCCAGTTTTTCCAGAGTTGGCCTAGTGTAAATCATCGTGCATACCAAGTGTTCGATGAAATGCGTCAAAGAGACTTTAGAATATTTTCTTAGAATATCGCGCTACAATCGTGGTTCTTCGTAAATTTCTGCGCTTTTTGCTCTAGAAAGATATCTCTCCAAAAAAAAAACTGTAATGGGTAGTAAGGCAAAGATGTTCAAGTGGTCCCAAACGATCACGCCTGCTCAGGTTGTCAAACTGATGCGAGCTGAAAAGGACGTGGAGAAAGCTACTTCAATTTTCAACTCCGCAACAGCAGAATATGCAAATGGGTTTTGCCATGATCAGAGTTCTTTTGGTTATATGGTCTTAAGGTTAGTGTCTGCTAATAAATTCAGAGCTGCTGAGGATCTGGTTGAAAGAATGAAGAAGGAGAGTTGTGTCATTAACGAAGATATACTACTTTCCATATGCAGAGGGTATGGTCGTGTTCATAGGCCACTAGATTCTTTGCGGGTCTTCCACAAGATGAAGGATTTTGGTTGTAATCCCACCCAGAAGTCCTGCATTACAGTTTTTGCCATTCTCGTGGAAGAGAATCAGTTAAAGGTGGCGTTTAGGTTTTACAAGTACATGAGAGAGGTAGGCTTACAACCTACTGTTGCTTCTCTCAATGTTCTGATCAAAGCTCTCTGCAGAAATGGTGGAACAATTGATGCTGGTCTCAAGATTTTTCGTGAAATGCCTAAACGTGGATGTAACCCAGATTCCTATACTTATGGCACCCTGATTAATGGTTTGTGTCGATTTGGAAGGATAGCTGAGGCGAAGTGTTTAATTAAGGAGATGGGGGAAAAAGATTGTGCACCAAGTGTTGTTACCTATACGTCTTTGATTCATGGTTTGTGTGAATCCAAAAATGTCATGGAAGCAATGGGGTTGCTAGAAGAGATGAAATGTAAAGGCATCGAACCAAATGTTTTCACTTACAGTTCTCTGATGGATGGTCTTTGCAAAGATGGGCGTGCCTTGCAAGCCATGGAACTGTTCGAGATGATGGTGGCTAGATCCTGCAAGCCCAACATGGTAACCTATAGCACATTGATCACTGGTCTATGTAAAGAGCAGAAGCTTCAGGAGGCTACTGAGCTTCTTGATAGGATGAAGCTTCAGGGTCTGAAACCAGATGCTGGATTGTATGGAAAGACAATAAGTGGTTTCTGTGGTGTCAGCAAGTTTCGTGAGGCTGCCAACTTCCTCGATGAGATGATTCTTGGGGGAATAACGCCGAATCGTTTAACTTGGAGCATCCATGTGAGGATAAACAATGAAGTAGTACGAGGTCTGTGTACAAGTGATCCAAGTCGCGCATTTAGTTTGTATCTAAGCATGAGGACTAGGGGTATCTCGGTTGAGGCTGAGACATCAGACTCTCTGGTGAAGTGTTTGTGCAAAAAGAGAGAACTGCAGAAAGCTGTTCAAATAGTCAACGAGATGGTAACTGATGGGTGTATACCGGACAAAGGAACATGGAAATTGCTGGTAGGTCAAACATTGGAGAAAATGGTTGTGCAAGAAGCTTCAGAATCGCTCCTTAGAGAATTTGAGATCCAAGATCAAGATTTGTGAATCTGATTATTGGGGGCATGGCTCCCTCTGGTTTCCACACCAGATCAAGGTTGTTATTGTACTTGCAGTAAGAAGATTGATTAGTCAGAGACAGTAGATATAAACACAATTGATTGGAACAGTTTAATTTACATGACTGGTATCTTCAGTCAAGAGATGATCACAGAAGAATGGTAAGACACAATGATAAAGGTACATAAAAAATCATCAATCAGTTTTCAGCTTGAAAGTCGAAGAGGAATTTCCATTGCGATCAGACAGGTGCCAGATCATCAATTTGCGGAGAGAGGAAATCCGATACCATGGCGTGTGGTTGGGAATGTTGCAAATAACATACTGCAGAAGACTCCTGTGGCTACAGGCAAAGCCGTCAAAACCTCCATTGCCTCGGTTGATGGTGCTGGGAAGAAACAATTCACCACATTTTGATCAAACAGAACCACTGAACCAAACACAAGAACTGACATGATGGCATGAGTGAAATCCATACACCGCAGGCTGTAACGCTTAGAAACCTCTGGTGGGAGAGTCCCTGACCCATCAATTATCCACAAGCCACGGATTGTGGCAAACCCATAACAGACATTTCCATTCTTGTCCCTGAAGGAATCTGTGAAGCTGAGTATGAAGCAAGAAAATCCACATATTGCCACCAGAGATGCTGTCATAATCCGGCTAACCCCATCGCAGTTCCCACCGTTTGTGAAAATGGGCGATAGTAGCTGGAAAGCAAGAACCGTCCCTGTAGGCAAGAGGTTAGCCAGATGAGCAGTTGTCTGAAATGTCTGACTTATCGCCTTTTGTACCCAATTCTTTCTCTCGATCTCAGGAAGATCCCGGTCCTGCAGGAGCGGAACTCTCTGTTCATCAACCTGAGGAGCGTCAGGATTCCCGACTTCAACCTTAATCTCCATGACAAAGAGGATCACTTTTCCAGGTTTATGCCTTTTACTTATCTGTTTGTCAAGTGACAGGATTAGGACAGAGATGGGTTTTGGTTTCAATACACGAGCAGTGATCAAAGAGAAGGAATTTATTGAGTAGAGGGAAAGGGAGGGAAGGCTTGCATTGTTGTTGTGATGCCTTGCAAGTAAACCCTAATCCGGTTTTGTTTGAGGGAAAACATGTTCCTGACCCTTCTTGTAACAAAGGGATACATTGCAAATTATATTTCTTTCCAAAAAGAAAAAAGAAATGTTTGTTTTACCAATTCTATTTCTGAGGATTAGTGCTGAGTTCATCGGAAGTTTGGTACATGCAATTTAAAATGATTCATCCCTCTTTAGTTCTCATGAAACTACTTTATTTTATTATTCATCATATGCAAAAAAAAAAATAGTAAACCCGAGTTGGGATCTTATTGTGAACGAGTCATTCGGACCGTGTCAAAGAAAAGAGTAGTGTACAAGGTTGCCCAAACAATTTAAAATTAATCACTTGAAGTCCGGTTGAGTTGGTCTATTTTGACAGATTATTTCATATTGAATAAGGCGGCTTAACGATGGTGTGTTTTTGTTTTTTCAGTAGAAGTTGATAGAATTTTCTCTGCATCGTCTTATATGAAATGTCATGTAGATGTTACGTGGAGATCAAGCAAGCAAACGTCTTATTGAACTTGGAAGTTACATAGTTCGGCATACAATGTAAATATTACGTAGAGTCAATAACGATTTCTGGCTTCTATTAATTTCATTTCTTCGAGTTATTTATTCCGACGCAATCACGCAAGGCACGCATTCTTTCGGCTCCTGCGTGTCCATATGGCTTGCACGTTACCATTCACTATATAAATAAATATATATAAAGAAAAACACTGAAGATATCTATTGGGCCTTACATTCTCATCTACATTTGGACTTTCTCATTTGGGCCAATCATATTTGGGCTTTTCGGGTTTGACGTAAAATTTCCAAAACTCTATCCACGGGCCTGCTTCCGTACATTTTTTCGTGTGTATTTTTTTATTTCCTTTTTTCGATTGAATTGTGCTATTTATCGTACATTATATCAAAAATACCCTTGCTTAGTTATTTTTATTTTACTATATACCATTCTCCAACTGTGATCATGTGACCATATGATCCAAAATATAGTGTGGTCATATTTTGATTTTATTGATTATAATATTAAATTTATGGTGATTGAATTAGTTCATAAACAGTTAAGATAAAGCTTTTTTCTTATAAAAAAAATGGGGGGCAATAATTTAACAAACAGACCAATGGGGACCGTCAGTGGGCATGGGCTTCAGGTATCATAATAATATAAAAATCTTTGGGGAAATAAATAATATAAGATCTTTATATTATATGCATATGTTATTAGGGAATGCACACTATGGTGTTACTTAACATAACGATAACGTTTCTAGAGCCTCGTCTTTTTATTTTCTCTCCTAATGTAACCAAATATTTCCATTTTGGTTGGTTTTGTACCTTCAAAAAACAATAACGTATATCAGTAAAAAAAACATGTAGAGAAAAAGACTGTGTACCTGTTTACTGATAGTGAGAAAATAATATAAAAATATTAATAAAAAATGGCATTAGTGATTAGGAGTAAGTTACCCCTGCCAAAGTCATATGGGTCCTATAATATTTCGAGCTCATATATATATATATA